TGTCAGTACTGTAAATACTTCACATAGATGTACGTGCTTTGAGGCTGATTTTATGACAAGAAAGACCCTGCAGTGTGCTCAGAGAAAGACAACGAAGCTGTGAAGAGTCTGGAGCACAAGTTTTACAGGGAGCAGCTGAGGGAACTGGGGTTGTTCAGTCTGGAAAAGAGGATGCTCAGGAGAGACCTTATCACTCTCCTGATAAGGTGATGAACCGAAAGGAGGTTGTGGCGAGGTAAGGATTGGCCTCCCAGAGATAGGATGAGAGGGAATGGCCTCAAGTTGCACCACGGGAGGTTCAGATTGGATATTATTAAAAATTCATCCTCAGCAACAGTGGTGAAGCAGTGGCACAGGCTGCCAGGGAGGAGATGCAGTCACTGTTCCTGGAGATGTTCAACAACTGTAGATGTGGCACTGCCACATCCCACCATAAGAGGAGGGAAAAGGTGACCAGATTGATGAATACCCCCAGCTAGATTAAGGCAGAACAATGCACAGATTTCATAACACATCAACTTTAATGAAAATCTATGTACTGCAATTATCCCATAATACTGGCACTCTAAGAGCACTTTAGAAAGCCCAGGGGAGGTACCTGCAGGAGGAAGGACCTGCGCCTAAAGCCTTTCTGCCTCTGGCAGCTGCAAGCCCTGTGCTCAGTTCCTATCAAGGTAGTCAGTGTTTCTTGGGTACAGCAGCAGCCTTAGGGCTTAGCAATGCTGGGCGGGGTGCATTTGTGATTCTCTCCCCATGAATGAGACTTCACTAACTTGCAGCTTGGTGGCCCCACTTTGCTTAGAACCGGCAGAAAAAGAGATCAGCGCCTCCAGTGAGCAGCAGCCAGGACTCCCTGGCAGGAACTAAAGCACGGGGCGGCGCCGGTGCTCAGAACCACAAAACTCAGAACATCGCTTTTTAAGCCCCGTCTCCTGGGTTGGCGCATCTCGCCATCTTACAAGCTGCTTCGGACAGAAACCAAGTATTTCTGCTACTCGCGGTGCCTGGAACCCACAGCTCAAAACTCGTCGTCTGTGAATCCGAACAATAAAGCCTGATCGATGGCTGGCGGGTGACGCTGACATTCGCGGTGACGCAGCACGTCCTTACAGGTGAGGAAAACACCTCAGCACGGCCTCACACGGCGCTGTTTCCTAAGACCGCTCGAGGGCGGACAGGCTGAGGGCGGCACCGGCGGCGCGCCGAGCGGAAGCCCGCGCCGAGCGGCGTAACGCTCCGCAACTCAGATTCCCGCCGCCGCGACAACCAACCGCGCACCAGCCGCTCACACTGCGCGTGCGCGCGTTCGGCGCGTGCGCCGCCCCACGCCGGGACTGTGACGTCGGGCGTCGCCGCGATCGGCAGCGGAGGGCGTTGCGGCGTGTGTGGAGCGGGAACTTGCGTAGCGTACGAGTGCCGGCCTTCCGCCGCTTGCTCTTTCTCCTGGTGAGGCTCGGCGCGGTTCCCGACGACGAGTGCCGGCCGGACGGCCGGGCTCGGCGCCATGCTACGACGCACGAAGCCCGAGGTGGAGAGATACGTCGCCTCCGTGCAGGCCGCCGCCTCCTCTCCTAGAGAGGTGAGTGCTTGGGGCCCGGCCGGCACCGCCGGCGGCGCTCCCGCGGCCTGCCCGGGGCCGCGGTGTGGTCCGCTCCTCGCCCGCCCCGTCCTTCCCCTCCTCCCGCGGGTGCCGGGCCCGAGGGGTGGTTGCGGGCTTTGCCGGGGCCCGGGATGGCCGTCGGGGGCCGGCGGGCCCGGTGCGCGGGAAAGGCTCTGGGCTGCCCGGCCGAGCGGCGCTTTGCGGCCTCATCCCTCGGGTACGGCGCGGGGGGGTCGTGGCGTTCCCGCTGCCGGGAGCGCTGGTGAGTCAGAGCTTGCTGAGGGGCATGTGGAGTCGTGTGGGTGGGGAGTCGAAGCCGAGGGAAGCTGCTGGGAGGGAGGCCGCGGATATACTTCCTTGGCAGCGTGGTTTGCTACCGCTGCGCGCCTCTTAAAACTGGTGAGCCCTCGGTAACTTCCGAAAGAGCGCAGCGGCGTGGTGAAATACGGATCCATCCTGTTCTGTGGGAATAGAATGGCGTGGGTTGGAAAGGGCCACCATGATCATCTAGTTTCAACCCCGTGCTATGTGCAGGATCGCCAGCCACCAGACCAGGCTGCCCAGAGCCACATGGAGCCTGGCCTTGAATGCCTCCAGGGATGGGGCCTCCACAGTCTCCATGGGCAACCTGTTCCAATGCGTCACCACCTTCTGTGTGGAAAAACTTCTTCCTAATATCGAACCTAAATCTCCCCTGTCTCCGCTTAAAACCATTCCCCCTTGTCCTATCACTATCTATTCCCCCTCCTGTTTATATGCTCCCTTCAAGTACTGGAAAGCCACAATGAGGTCTTGCGAGAGTTCCTGAGCTTCCAGCCTTCCCTCTCTTGAGGAACCCAAATAGGGAATAGGGAATACTGTTAAGCTTCTGAATTTCTTTGGTGTGTTGTGTGGCTGTTATTCTCATCTGTGTGACAACGTTCTGAAACGTCAGTAATAAGAGAGGGAGTGGTGGGGGAAATAGCTTTGCTGCTGTGCGTTAGTAACTGGGCAGCCAGATGATTCCCTGATAGCTGGAAAATGGTGTGCAGGTCACGGTGAGCTGACTGATGAGGTTCATAGGAGCAGTTTCATCCGGAAAGGTCCCGCTCTGCTGCTTTGAATTGGTTTTATTGCAGACGTGGAATATTCAGCAGTTGTGTAATGTGAATGCACACTGTGATGCAGCAGGGCCTTGATGTGAGTGTAAGGCCTGCATGAGTCCTCATTTTGATCTTCAACAGCAGTGGAGTTGTCCCTTCACTTTGTTCGGTTGATTTTGATGCTGTTTAGGCTGCACAGTGTTGAATGTATCGCTGCTAAATTTGGAGATAATCTTCAACAGTGTTGGTATTCTTGTGGAGCTCAACGAAAAGATATTGCCTCTCCTTTAGTAGTGCTCAAGGCCAAGTGCTGCGGGTTTGGTTTCATCTTTTCAGTGATGCTTGTAACTGGCTGTATAGCACAGTCAGTGATGGGAGTAGTTACTGGTTTTTCTGGGGTGTTGATTTTGGAGAGGAGGGTTGTACGAGGCTGTAAGCATTTATTTTGAAGTTTCTTTCCAACCCTGTTTCCAAGGAGATGTCTCGCATGATTGCACTCTGTGCATGTCAGTGTATCCATGTTTTACTTCAAAATACAGTCTGAAAAGTAGGAGATCCACATGTAAAAATTTTTCAGGAGTAACCTGGGGGTAGGAAGGGGATAGGAGACTAAATTCAAGTGTCTTTAGATTGTAGAAGTTTGTTTTACATCTGGAGTCCTAGGTGTAACTAGTTCCAGTATTCCTGATTCTCAAACAGAGGCTACTGTGGCAGTGATACGTGGACCCCAGGTTTTAGGTTTGTCTCCTGGTTCATGTTTACCATGAAGTTTTTGCTCATGACTTCCTAGTTCTCGAGCTCATTCACACAGGTAAAAAAAAGATGTTTCTTCAGTGCAGTAATTTAGTGCTGATGTTATCAGTCCAAGTGAACTTGAACTCGAGGACTCTGTGTGTGAAAGGTGAAACATACCTCTGCACAGGTATTGACTGAAGGGCAGAACAAGGAAATA